GGTCCTCATTCATTTCTGTTCCTTGAGGCCAACTGTAGTTACTGCTCTTCAGCGAAAAGATTGAGAGGATGTGCAGTTCTCCCAGAGCACCAAAGCCCTGGGTTCAGCTCTGCTGTGCCTGGAATGAGGACTACCAGGTCCCTGCCCTCATGGACCTGGAGGCTGAAGAGATAAACAGGCTCCTAATTTTAATTATGCAAGGGAAAAGAAACAGCAGCATGTCTGGAAGTTCAGGGAGGGTACCTAGCCCATGGAGGTGGCTCTCAGAGAAGGCAGCATGAGGTGGTGGCTCTTTGCACATTGAGGGATGGATAGGGTTCCAAAGAACAGTGACCAGACGTAGAGCTGCACAAGGCGCTATGTAGGGGACTGCAGCTCCTGTTCTGCCACTGTGTGATGTGTGGCCTTTGCTCTCTGCTGAGCAGTTTCTTCCTCTGTAAAGTGGGACCTCCCAGCTCCCTGGTGACAGGATTGTGCTGAGGATGGAGTGGTGGAGTGGGGCAGTGAGAGCTGCCAGGGTTACTGAGGAGGGAACCTGGCAGGTGGGAGACTCCACCATGTTTGAGCAGGTTGAATGGTTCTCTTTGCAGGCATAAGGTGTGTGTGTGTGTGGGGGGTGTCATTTGGCAGCAAATGTGAACAGCTGAGGCCTAATGACAGGAGCTCTGAGGTGGCATTGGTGCCACAGCACCCTGGGGCAGTGTGACCCTCTCCCTTCATTGTCCATGGGAGAGGTCCTTGCTACGGCCAATGTCCAGAGCACTCTAGAGCCTCCCCTGGTGGGTGCAAGGCCGGAGGGGCGATTTAGGGCTGCCTCATCCTTCTGGCCAGTGGGCCTTGGTCTGCACCCTGGCCCAGCCTGGGTCTGGCTCTTCCCTGTGTCTGGATCCTCACCCCCAGCTTGGTGAGGTCAGGGAACAGGTATTTCAGGAATGCAGGAGGCGGAGCAGCCAGCCCCATTTGGATAACCATGGGGTAAATATTTGCCTTGCTCCTGGAGTCAGCACTGGCCCGCCAGGGGAGGACAGGGGCCTGTCCCTGGGGTCATGTAAGGGGATGTGTGTGGTGGCAGGGCTCTCCAAGGTGGGGAATCCCCTGTCACCCCAAGAGTCTGCTTGTCGCCTGACCAGCAGCTGTTTGTCGCATCTGTGAAATGAGGGTAGAACAGCTCAGGCGCCTGAGGGTCAGTGTAGCGGGAGCTGGTTCCGCTGGCTCAGCCAGGGGAGCGGCGGGTTGGACCAGGTGTGAGTGGACACCCTTGTAACCACCGTTCTGATCCCCGCTTTGCCACTTAATGACCTTGAGCAACTACCCTTGCCCTGACTTGGGTGGGCACCGTGGGCTGAGCTTTTCCTCCTTGGCACCTGCATCTGCACACCCCGTATCTTGTGAAGGCCTCACAGCTACCAGGGCCAAGATACGTGTGTGGTCAGCAGCAAGAATGAGGAGCTGAGGCCTGGTGATGGGAGCCCTGAATTCCAGGTTGAAGGTGTAAGCCCTAGTGTAACCCCTGCCCAGCACAGCACCAGGGCCACCTGCCCCCTCCCCCAGTGCAGCCTGGAGCCTTCCCTGGTGAGAGCCAATGGAGGGCGGTCGGCCCCTGCTTAGGGAGGAGCTGGGGGCTTAAGGAAGCCTAGTGACTTGCTGAAGGTCCCCCAGCAAGTGTTCAAACCGAGCTCTACCCACTCTTGCCCTAACCCTTGAGGCCAGGGGCTTCAGCCCCAACTGTGGACTCCCAAGCCTTAGCAGCTGTAGAGACCAACTGGCTACTTAGCCGCAGGCCTAGAGCCACCCCTGGTCCTGGATACCCCACATTTTGGGCACCTCTGCCCTCCAGGAATCCTGGATTGACCGACCCTGCATCTCTCTGGGTCAGACTCAGCCCTGGGTCAGCTTGACCAAGTGCCTCCACCCCAGCCCATACCCAGGTCCTTCCAGGGATCCCTGGAGAAGGTGGGGCTGGGAAGATAGATATGATGGGGGGAACCCCTCTTGGTCCCAGGACAGTCCCTACCCCCAGGTGACATCTGCCTTGTCTGAGACTCAGCCTTGTCACTTTCCAGCTGGATACCTCTGGCAGCCCCATCCTTCTCAGTGTCATGTTGTGCCAAGCAGGAGTGGGTCCTGGTCTCCCCTCCCCCAGGAGCTTCAGATGCACTGTGAGAGTGAAGGGTGTTTCAGGCTGCTGTCTGCACGCTGCCCTTTCTGTTCTGGAAATGAGAAACTGCCCTGTGGTCAGGATCTCACACCCCCCAGAAGTGAGAGGTGCTGTGCTGAGGGGGCCTGGGAGAGCTATCTGGGCATTGGGGTCCCTACCTCATGGGGAAATTAGGTGAGCCTCCACTGGCCTTGAGGCTCAGGCTGCACCCACTCCGTGACACCAAGGCCTTTACAGAAAAGAGCGCTCCCCTCCAGCCCTTCGTGGTTTATCCTTGCCGTCTGACCAGGCTGGGAGCAAACGGGGCTACACCTCATCTCCTGCCCTCTCTTCTCCCTGAACTCCCCAGGAGGCCAAGTCCACACAGGCTGTGAGCCTCGGCTAAGGCACCAGCAGGGTGGGTGTGCACAGCATGGCACAGGCTCCTGGTTCCTGAGTCCCCCTTTCCCAGCATGAGGGGTGCCCAGCGCCGTCTGGCCCTGAGCAGGGCTGCTGAGCAGCTCCCAGGGCTGGGCAGGGTTCAGGCTCTCAGGCTGGTTGCCGCGAAGCGGGCAGACTGAGTGGGCATGGGTTGCTTACTCACATCCCGGCTGTGTTCCTGTGAGCTCCTTATTAGCTGTGCGACCTCAGGAGGTTATAGAACCTCTTGGCCTCATGTGGATATCAGGGATGTCAGTGTCTACCTCACAGCGTTTCACTGAGGGCTAAAGGAAATATCCAGGGCACAGTCCACAATATGGACTCAATACAGGGCGCCCTCCTACTCCCTCTCTCTTTCCCAGCGGGGTGGTCCAACGCAGGCTCACTGTCCCCCAACCAGGGCCTGAGTTCAAATTCTAGCACCCCCACTTATAGCTGTGTGACCCTGGCTGGGTCCCTTCCCCTCTCTGATCTCAGTTTGCCCTTTGCACAAGCCCAACACCAAGGGGCTGGGGTGACTGGGGTGGCTGCGGCAGTGAGGTACGTGCATGAACCGTGAGCCGAGCACCCCTGAGAGGCTGATGGCCCGACGCTGTTTCTCGGGGCCTGGCCGATGCTCACTGGGGAGCGAGGGCTTTTCGGCTCTGGCTTCCGTCTCAGCTGCCAAGATAATTATTTTCTCTCTGTCAGCGGCTCTGCTGGCCAGCTTGCCTTTGGAAAAGGCCTAGCTGTGGGCGGTGGGGAGGCAGGAGACTGACTCCAGTTCTGCCCCAGTCACTGACTCACTGCATGACCCCATATGAGGGCAAACACTGCCTGTCTCTGGGCCTCAGTTTCCTCCTGAGTGAAAGGGAAGTATTGGGGTCAATGAACCCCAAAACCGTTTGTATTTCCAAGGTAAGCAGAATTTGGGGGCTGCCAGAACCAGAAGGTCAGGATGTAGAGCCACTTCCTCTCCCCATGGCTGGGGTGGGGACGCTGGGCCTGGCTCCAGGATCTTGGGGTGTAGGGTTCCAGCACTCATGGAGCCCAGCACCGGCCCCCACAGGGTCATCCATGCATCAGCTGACGTGTGTGGAGAGCCACTGGTGTCCGGCCCTCACATGCACTGCGTTACACAGTCTGCACAGCTCTTTGAGGGAGGCCTTGTCGTTGTTTCTATATCCCCTACCACAGTTGAGGAAACCGAGGCAGAGGGAGGCTTTAGAAACATGTCCAAGTCACACACTTGGTACTAGGGCAAAGCCAAGCTTTGAAGCAGATCCTTGTGATTACTGAGCCTGCCTCTCGATCACCAGGCCTCTTTACCTCTTACCGAGGCCCTGGGCACCATTTCTCCCTGGGAGCCCCTGCCTGTGCACAGTGAGGTGGAGCCCAGAGTAAGGCCCTTACCCAGCCCCTTGGCGTGTATGGAGGCCTATGCTTCATGTGATGTGGGCACCACCTCCCCTGCTGTGAGCCACGGGCCTTGTTCTGAGAGGAGCTCGGCCCTGCAGTCAGGTTTCCAGGTTTTTAGAGGTGGACACTCCGGTGCAGAGAGGCACAGTGATTGTTCACGGCCACGCATCGGGACACTTTCACAGCCAGAGCCTGAATTCAGGGATATGCACATCCCAGCCTCCAGCTGAGACCCCAGAGAAGCCCACCGACCAGACCTCTGGGTCTCATCTTCCCTCCTGCCCTCGGGTCTCATCTTCCCTCCTGCCCTCGGGACTCTGTGGGCAGTGGGGGGCGTGTTGGTGGGCCGTTGAGGAGGTGGGCCAGCCGAGCGCCACCCAACAAGCATGGTCGTGTACCTGCATGCCCAGTGCACCAGCAGGTCCTGCACTTCTGCGTGCTGCCGTCTCTGCCCCGGGCACCACTGTCTCTGGCCTGGACTCTGGAGCAGCGTCCCCACTGCTCTTCTGCCTCCTCCTATCTCTCCAAGCCCTTCTCCCTTCACAGCCATGGGGGCTTCCTGAACTAGAACTAGGGTCACGTCCCTCAGCTGCCCAGATGCTGCTGTGGCTCCTGCCCATTCTCTCTCTTACTGTCCCTGGCCCGTGGTCCCCACTCACACCACCCTCTACCTTGCTCAGTGCATCTGCTACACCACGGACCCCAAGTCCTCCACTGGGCCAGTCACTTTTCTCCATCTTGGAGTCTTCGCATATGCTGTTCCCTCTGCCTAGAACGCTATTTGCCGCATCTTGGCCTGCCTCTCCCTGGCTTGTTGCTCAACTTCACTTCCCCAGAGAGGCTACCTGGGACCTTGAGTCTCTGCTCTGTGGACCCTGGACTCATCGTTTGTTTCTGGCAAGCACTGCTATTACTTTTGTATTATTTGATTCTTTGCTCTCATCTGAGTCTCTGCAAGGCTAGGGATCACTATCACATCGGCATGCTTGCTGAATGTTTGTTGAATAAATGGGTGAATGCCAAGTGCCTTTGTCATCACGTCTCTTTGGATTCTCCCAGTGACCTGGAGACATATTTTGACCCCACTTTGACACATGAGGAAACTGAACCCCAGAGAGTCTGAGAGCATATCCGTAATCACATAACCAGTAACTGGCAGGTGTGGGGAGTCAGGGGCTTGTTTATGCCAGGGCACCCCATCATGTCCCTTCAGAGTCCTCCTTTGTCAGATGGGGATGATATGGTGGCACTGGGTAGTGGCCTCATGGTCAGTGCCCGGGCCTCTGCTGTGGGTAGACCCACTGACGACCTGCTCTTATTGCAGCAGGATGGAGCTGGAGTGAGGTGGAGGGGCCGCGAGCTGCTGACCGGCGCGTGGGCCACTGGTGATTTGCAGATCACTGAGGTAGGTGTGCCACTGGGCTGGCGGGAGGTGGCTGGGTCGGAAGCAGGCAAGTCCTGATGAGGGCAGGTGCTGGCCCTAGCATGCTGGACCTTTGACTCGGGCCTCAGCCCTGATGGGCAGGAGTGGGTACAAGTCACCTTTACTGGAACCTCATCATGCCCCAAATGGGTCGTCCCTCTACCTGGCACCCAGGGACCTCTTGGCCTGGCATTTCTCTAGAGCAGCTGCTAGGGGTGGGGGCTGGAGGTCTGCCCCGGGAGAGGGGCAGGTCTGGCTACCTGGTCTTGGCACAGGAGCCCTGTGTGTACCGCTCTAAACCCTGTGGGGTAGGGGCAGCCCCACGAAAGGAGGCCTGGGTGAGCAGGAATATTTGGGCTGAAATGGGTGCAGGGCTACCACCCCTTCTACCCACTCTCACAAACACTGAGGTGGATACACACTGGGCTCTGGGATCAGACCACCTGGGTTCAAATCCTGATTGGCACACATGGTTACTCTGTGCCTCTGTTAACCCATCTATCAAATGGGAATGAGATGTCGGCGCCTGCCCCACTGTCGCGGTGAGGAGACTGCACACCTGGCACACAGCAAGGACTGGGGACATGTCAGTCCTTTTCCTCAAGGGTGCTGGAACCCACCTTTCTCTCCACACACCTCAGTTTCCACCACCCTGCTCCCCCTGAGGACCCATCAGTGCCAGGATGGACACGAACTGAACCCCTGGCCTGATAAGCGGGGCAGGGCTCCTTGAGGAGCAACTGAGAGCAGCTGGGGCCAGCAGGTCCTGAGGTTGAGCTCAGCTCTGGACCGTGCCCCAGCATTTCTCATCATGGGGTGGCATTTCAGGGTGATCTCCCGTGGCCCTGTGCTGGAGGGTGACCTGTGTAATCCCTGTTTCCTTGGCAACTCTCAACCTAGAGATGAGAGGCTTCACAAAAATCCTCACTTGGGCCAGAGCCCTTTGTCCCAAGGCGTTGTGGTGCTCAGGCAGCCCAGGAGAGGGGAGTCTTCACCCTGGTGTGGGGCTGTCTCCTAACATCCCCTACTGCCCTCAGTCCCTCCTGGAGCTTAGCAATGCCAGGGGCCTGGGGCAGGCCGGGCGAGCCTCAGTCAGGCTCCGACACTGGGGAGCCAGGCTCCGTCTCCCTTCCCGCTGCAGGAAATCTCGGCTGTCTGCTGATCCGCTGCGTGACCTTGGGCCAGTCCCTTCCCTTGTGTGAGAGCCAGCTTTCTCATCTGAAAATGAGGCTGATTATACTGACATTGCTGACAGGGCTGCTGTGAGGATGCTTAGAAGCCATGAATATTTTTAAATGTTACTGCCTCAGGAGCATCTGCTGTGTGTGTGCCAGGAGCTATGCTCCTTTAATACCTGTTTCTCCCCACAAGAATCCCACAGGGAGGTTTGTCTAATTCATTCTCCAGAGGCTCGGCGTGGTTAGGAAACCCACAGAGCCGTCAGTGCTGGAGTGGGGATTTGAACCGAGGTCCGTCAGGATTAACCAGTGCACAAGGCCTTGGAGACCAGGGGCGGTGCCCCAGGACAAGCGTGGGAGCTGCTTGGGGAAAGCCCTGCAGCCCTTGTCCAGCCTGCCAAGCCCGCTGCTTTCTGGAGCCAGAGGGTGGCCCCCAGGCTGGTGGCCTGCCCCTCCCCGATGGGGCCTGCCTGCAACTCGATAAGGCTAGGGGAACCCTCTGCTAATTGTCTGGTAACCTTTGAAATTCTCCTTCACGGTGGGTTCTCTTTTCGGATGTTTTTCAAGGTAATTCATTCCTTTTCCAGAAATTGCCAGTGGCGGAGCATTAGGCAGCTGGTAATTAATCATAGGAGCGGCTTCGAGTTGATTCTTTGAAAAAGAAAAAAAAAAAAAAATGAGGAACAGAAAGCCTTGGTGGAAAAAGGAAAGAAAAGAAAACCACTCCAAGGCGAGGGTGGTAATCAATACCTTGGTGTCCTAGAAACGGCCGGGGGTGGAGACGGCGGAAGTGCGGCCTTCTCTCCTGCTTCCCAGGCTGGCCCACTGTCAGCGCCAACAGCGGCAGCGTGGGGCTCCGCTCTTGACCATTGGCTCCCTGTATGGCTTTGAGAAGTTGCTGCCTTTCCCTGGACTCAGCTTTGCCACCTGTAAAATGGGTGAAGGGCAGCTGTTAAACTAAACATTGAATGAACCCTTATTTCACTACCATGTCTTAGTCCCTGGCACAGAGCAGTGGCCCCATTGATACTCTGCTAATTGAGTGAGTGAGTGAGTGAATGAGTGAGTGAGTGAGTGAGTGAGTGTTGTGGGCCCTAGCTAGCTGTCTTGAGTGAAGCAGGTGGTACTGGCTACAGGATCTTGTGACTGTAGCTCTGTTATAATTTGGAGCGTGACAGTCAGGGTGAGGGGCCAGTTCTGTCACTTTCCGGGCTAATGATGAAAGGACAGTCTTGCTTGGTGAACTCCAGCCAGGAGACCTTGGGCCCTTTAGTGGTAACCGTGCTATCTCTGTGGCATCTTTCAGTTCAACTTTCCAAGAGTCTGAGCTATCTGGAGATTTTATGTTAAAAAGCTGCCTCCTGCAGAGGTGGTGAGTTCTTTGTCACTAAACTGTGTGCAAGCTGGGGTTGGGCTGTATGGGCCACTTAGACAGTGGATTTTGGGGCTTGGAGCATCCCTAAGGCTGGGAGAGAGCATGAGGCTCTCCAGAATGGTTACTGGGGAGGCTGCACGGGTGGGGAGGAAGTCTGTTCCCTTCAGAGCCCCTTCCCAAAGGTCCCAGGGGGGACTGGACGAGGATACAGGTGCTGAAGCATCAGTGCCTGCTCTCCCTGACTGGCCCCATTGCATGGACATAGGGGCACTGAGCAGGGTTGAGGGAAAGAGCCATACTCCTTACATCAGGGGGTGTCTAACAGGCTGTGGGTTGGGTAGGGGGACGGGGAGGAATAGAAAGCCCTTGTCTGGAGGTGGGGGCCTCAGACCTAGGTCTTATATGCTGGTCTGTCTGGTGTCACCTCAGGAGCTCCCTTTCCCTTTCTGGTATTTGGGCCACGATCCTTCAGGAGAGGGCAGCAGATGGGGAGTGTGTTCTCCAGGGGAATGTGAACTCCCCTGCCCGGGTGAGCTCAGTTTGGGAGCCTGAGCTGGGCCTGACAAAGCCAGTTTCCTCTTATCAGCTTCTCTCATTCTGGCCCTAATGTGGGACCGGGGTTCCTTGCCCAGAGACCCAGGATGATAGTGAACCCTAGCCTGAGTAGTGGCTCTGGGAGGCTCAGAGCTTCCAGAGGGAAGGAGGAGGGTGTGTGACGTGTGCTTGTGTGTAAGTGCGTGTGTACTAGTGTGCACCTGTGTATGGGTGTGATTGTTTAGCACGACGTGTGACTATTCATGAGTATTCAAGGAAAGGGGAGATCCCTCCCTCCCGTGTGTGTCAGGACGTCCATGTGCACACTGGCTCCACATTCAGACTGGCCTGGGCGGCCCGGACCACAGTGGAGTGGACTGAGGGGCAGTGTGGGGGGCAAGCATTCAGGCCCGAGTGTTCTGACCTGCCCTCCCACAGCTGGAGGTCCTGACAGCTCCCCATGGTCACCGGGGGGCATGGATTTGGCGGCCATGCCTCCTGCCACAGATTTACACCCTGAGCCTCTAGCCTGAAGTCTCTGGGTGGGCCCAACCAGCTTCCCCTAGGCGGACCTGGTCTGCTAGGGGGGTCCTCTGTGAGCAGCCAAGCCTAACTTGGCACTAGTCGTTTCTTTACTTCTTCCAGCCTTGGCCTCCAAGCTCCAGCTCAGCTGTGTGTGTGTGTGTGTGTGTGTGTGTGTGTGTGTGTGTGTGTCTGTGTGTCTGGGCTCTCCCTGCAGGGTGGGGCACTGGGTCCGTCTCTGCGTGTCTCTGTCCCGTCTCCCTGTGGCTATCTGTCCTCATCTCTCCCTGTAGCTCTCTCCTGCCCAGCTTCCCAGACGCTGCCTCCTCCACAGCACGCATCCCTGTCCCTGAAGCGTATCCCAGAGTCCCTGCACCTCCTCACCTCTGCTCTCCTTCTCAGGGCCACTCCTTAGCAGGCCTCCCAGCAGCACGGCTGCACCGTGCCACCGCATCACTGCTTCTTGTCATCCCCAGGGCTCTGCACAACAGAGGCCTCCCTACCTGCTGCCTTTGCCTAAATCTGGCTCCAGCCAACATGCCACTTCCTCCCACCCTGCTCTTTGGTGGGTCTGAGACAGCCCCACATTCCCAGCTGCTGGAGGCTGCACTCCGTGTGTGGCCAGGTGGTGGGGGCAGGTGCCATCCCTTCCCCATGGCCCTGCTGTGCCAGCTACCTCCTGGCTCAGGAGTGCAGGCTGCTAGCCCACCCTGCAGCTGCCCTGTACCGTCCTGGGCATGTGGGTCGCTGGCCACCAGCTGGAGCAAGAGAACGAGAGGCGGCCTGTGCCCACTAACAAGGGGTGGTTGGAAACCTGGCATCTCCCTCCAGCATTAATGAAATTCCTGCTATAATTAGAAGTGAGGTGTACAGGAGCTGGCTGCCTGGTGGGAGCATTTGTATGCTCATGAATAAATAAATTGTCCTCTCCTGAAGGGAGAGGAAGCTGGAGGGTGTAGGCCCAGAGGGTCTCAGTGGCCTGTGAGGTGCAGAGACCCCACCACTCACCTGGATGCCCTCAGGAACCTCCCTCGGTCCCCAGCCCTGGTCAGCCAGTCTTCCTGGAAGTGCCTGCTGCGTGCCCAGGCGACTCAGCCTGGCATTCGAAGTCGCCACCATCTGGCCTCAGCCTCCTTTCACAGCCACATCACACGCTAGCCTTCTGCCAGCGCCCTGGGCTACAGCTCCACCGCACCGCCCCCCGCCCCTGTTCTTCATCACACCTTCCCACTCTGTGTTCCGGCCTGAGTTTCTGTGGGCTACCGCGTGGCTCCATCCTGGGAAGCCCTCCTCAGGCCACACCTGCACCTCCTGGAGGTCCCAATAGCCTTCCCTGGACAGGCCTCCTAAATCCAGAGCCTTCCCTCAACACTCTTCATGCCATTTAAAGTGTGCATCAGACTGCCCACCAGGCTGTTTTTCATTTTTCATTGATTACATATTGGGATGGTAATACATTGGATTCACAGGGCAGATGTTTTACATTCTTCATCATACTAAGTCTTTGAAATCCAGTCATTGCAGTCTCCACTGTTAGCTGTATTGCACGGCGCATGCTTGGAGAGGAGAGTCCTGTTTCCTCACCTTGCAGGTGAAGAAACTGAAGCCTGAGGAAGGAAATCCTGCAGGTGAGTTTGCAGAGCACATGCTGTCTCTGTAGGCAAGGCCACCGCTGTCCTGCAGGACAAAATAAGGAACCGAGGCACAGGGCACTTGTCCTAAAGACAGATCGAGGCAGGCAGGACCATGGCTAGAACCCAGGCGGCTGAACCTGAAATGAATAGAGGAAAGGCGATGTGAGCGATTTCATTCCCCCCGCCCCCCACACAGTAGATTTCAGTGCTTAAGACTGCCCTGCACTTAATGCCCGAACAGCCCCAGACCAAGCAGCTGTCACAGGCTGGGCCACATATTGGCCAGTTCTGCCCTTTATCCCTCCTAGCTTCCTGACAGTGAACATACACCCTAGACGGAGCTAGGAGGGTGAGAGCCCTGGCTCCTCCCAGGAAAGGTCACCTCTGCCCTCCAGCCCCTCCCACATCAGCCAGCAGAGTCTGAATCTCAAAGGTGCCCAAAGGCTGTGTTCTGTTAACCAGCCCAGGTCTCCAGTGAGTGGAGGATGCCTGCGGCAGGGATGGCTCCAAGGCCAGGAGGGAGAAGAGGGGATTTACCCCCCAGAGCCTGGCCCTGCCCCTGCTGGCCTAGAGGGTTCTCCCAAAGTGGGGTGTTTCTTAGGAGTCAGGCTGGCACAGCCCCTCCAGAGCCCTCTGTCCTCTGGAGCCGATTTTCCTCTTTGTTACCCACAAGCCCCCTCCGGCTGCACTTGGCTGTACGCTTCATTTACAATCTACCTCTTGTTTGCCTGTGCTCAGGCAGTGTGGCAGGGAGTCACGGAAGGTTCAGGTGCTCGTCTCCCTCCTCTGCAGACAGGGCTGGTGCCACTATCCAAAGCAGAGCTCCCCCAGGGGCCTACCTCCTCCCACCAGCAAGGGCTGCAGAGTTTGAGTGTACTGAGCCAACAGCCACGCTTTCTTTCCCCAGCCCATTCCCTCCTTCATCTGCACACCAGCACCCCGTGGCCTTTCCTTGTCTCTGCTCCTCCAAGCCAGCCATCTGCTGTTTCCACACCAGACCGTATACTCCTTGAAAGCTCAGGGCAGGCTGTGAACCATGTCCCTAGCACAGTCGTGTGCAGAAGGGCAGCAGGAAGCCACAGGCACCCAGCTTGTGCACCCTTAGCTTCCTCCAGGCACAGCAACAAGGTGTAGTCTAGCATCCCGGTTGTTAATGTGCCTATGGGCCGTGTTAAGGAGGATTCGGAGGCCGTGTGCGGACTTTACGAGAAATAATGCTGTGAGCTGTGTGACTCACGGTCACGCTCTCAGCCCTGCTCCCTGGATATCAGGTCTGCTTGACTGATGTCTCAGCTCTGGGCTGTGGCCAGTGCAGGAGGAGGGAAGAGGCAGGGACCTCAGTGTGACCCCCGCAGGTGTCCGTCCACCCTGACTGCTGGGCCCCAGAGAACCTTCTAGAGCCCCCAGGGAGCTGATTGGTTAATGGAGAGCAGGAAATGTATGGTCGCTGAGCCTTTGGAAGCTTTTTGCCCACATCTGCCTCCCCCAGTAAGTGCTTCTCACCCTTCTTCAGCTCCAGTTTGGGAAACAGCAAGCACATCTTGCCTCATGGCTGTTCTGGGACCCTCCACTGCTCCCCTGAGGCATCTTTAGGGACCTCTGTTGGAGCCCAGGGAAACATCTCTGCTTCGTAACTTCTGTGGATTGCTCTAGTGGTGCTACCTCCATCTGGCCCACCCTCAGGTTGGTGGGACGGGCTGGCATGAGACGGCCCTCGCCCCTCGCCGGTAGCCCCTGCCTGTTCTCTCTGGGGCCTGGCCTCACCCAGACTTCCCGTCACAGCCCCCCACCCCTGCCCTTGTCACTATCTGGGGTGCCAGCCCTCTGTGCTTCATTGCCTCTGCCCCCAGCAATTCCCTCTCAGGTAGGAGTTCCCAGCTGCCTCCTGCCTGGCAGCTCCAGCATGGCCAAAGATTGAGCCAGGAGGACTTTGATGTACTAGAACCTGTAAATAATCTAGAGCATTTTTATCTGTGTGTGGAAGAAATGCAGCAGACATCCATGCAACCTGTAGCCAGCTTAGCCTGTCTGCAGCCACAGCTCCAGAAGAGCTGAAAAAGATCATCTCATGCCTGGTATTGACACCCCCAGCTGCTGCCCAGACACCTCCATTGCTGGAGAAGTCACCACACAGTTTTGCTCATGTAAATTCAGTGTTATAGAGGATAAAGTGTGGCGTGTGGTCAAAGTGTGTGGGTTTCAGGCACAGACAGTTCTGGGTTCAAATCTCTGTTCTGCCACCTATCAGCCAGGTCTGAGTCTGGACAAGTTACTTGCATCCTCAGCTCACCTGTTTCCTCATCTGTAAAGGGGTGCAGTGCACCCACCTGGCAGGATAAAATGCAGCAATAGCTACACAGCACCAGTCCTCTCTGTTAGCAGCAGACCAATGCCCTTGGGGAGATACCTCCCAACCCTCAAACAGGAGCATGTGTTTGAAGTTGGCGTTTGTTAGCTCTGGACCCAGACACTTCTCTCTCCAGAGACAATGGACCCCCAGGTCCTCTCTTGAGCTTTCAAGTGGGAACTTCCAGGAGGATACTTTGAGATGGAGACGTAGTGCTTCCCAGGCATGCTAGCACACCCAGGCCACCTGGGACACCTGTGTAAATGCAGATCACCAGGCCCCTCTCCTGGAGTCTGATTCTATAGATCTGGAGTTGGGCCTAGGACTCTGATTTTTTAACAGATGTCCCCAGAAAATACCTGTGATCTGGCCAATCTGGGACACACTGGCGCCCGCAAAGGGGAGCTGGCCTAGAGACTTGAGCCAGTTCCTCTCTGTGGCTCAGTTTTCACACTGATAAACCAGGGGTTTAGATGACCTGGCAGGGATCTTCCTGCCCTTAAAACCTCATGACAATCAGACAGACATTCCCTGATGTCCCCTCTACCAGGCTCCCTGGGGCAGATCTGTGGGTTTCCGCCCCATTCCTTCTAGCCACAGAGCATTTGGCTCAGCAGCCTTCTGCCAGCCTCAGAGCCCTAGGGATAGAGAATCTGTTCCCTGGGTGTCACATGCTGTTGATTGTCTATTCCCTTGCCTTCCAGGAAGCCCTAACTCCGCAGGCATTAGCGGAGTCCACTCAGGTCTGAGATCTTTTCTGTAAGCTGAGCTGGATCACTAACTGGTGCCTACTGGGAGGTAGGGCAGAGGCCAGAGTGGGTGGGGGCAGTCCTGCAGCTCCTCTGAGGCATCTGGGAGCCTTATTAGTTAACACGCATGAAAGCCTGCAGCACTGGAACCGTAGGATGGCCCTGCAGAGCCCTGTCTTGTTACAGATGAGGAGACTGAGGCCCAAAGTGGAATGTGCTTGCTAGGAGGATGTGAGCTCTGGGAGCTCCACATGGCACACAGTCTGGTCTCTGGGCCACCCCATATGCCCCACCATGCCTCTCCTTGTGTGGTCCATCTAGGAAGGGCAGCCCCGATAGGCTTAAGCCCTCAACTTAAGCTGCTGAGCCCCTAGGAAAAGACAGTGCCATCTCAGGACAGGTCCTAGGGGCCGCCTGCTCCTGAACACTGGTCCCTTCTTGGACCCACACTGTCAGCCTAAATCAACAACCCTCTCCCAGCCCATGGATCCTCCAACCCCAGCCAGGGCAGCCCTCATGGAAGCTTTCCAGGAATATCCACGCACAGCACGGTGAGCTGCAGAAATGAAAAGGCTCTCACACTCCCTGCTCCCTCCCGTTTTCCACTCACTGCTGCTCAGGGGAGTTAATAAGCGGAGGTGAAAAAGCTGGCACTGTCCTAATGAGACCTCGTTTGAGTCAGCTGGGTCTGGGCTAATGCCAGAGAAGGAATTCTTCACTGCTGGGCCTTCACCCCATCGGGGATGAGGCCAGGGCCTAGAACTTAGGGACTGGCCTGAGCTGTCGCTCAGAGGATGCCAGAGACCAGAGCTTTGTCTCCGTCCCGGGCTGGGAGCCTCACTGGTTCCTTAGTTCACATGTGGTGCCTGGTACAGCACCCATCTTCAGGCCTCTGCACAAGTCAGCCCCTCTCCACTTCCCTCTCCATCTGCAGTCAGTAAGGCAGCAGTATTTAGTAAGCACCTACTGTTTGTAGGTCTGTGCTCAGCTCTTCAGGAGACAAAGAAACAGACCTGTGCCAGCCCCCGGGGAGCTCACAGTCCAGGCCACTGTAGGCCACATGCAGGAACAGAATTTGTGATGCACCATGTCCATGGGGCAAGGGATGTGTTGAGATCCAAAGAGGAGGAGTCCTTGGGGAGTGAGGGCCTATGGAAGGCTTCCTGGACGAGGCTGACTGGAATGGATTGACAGAGCATTTCAAGAATTCAAGTGGGGCTAGGGCTGGGGCAGGTGATCGAGTTTGTACCAGAGCATCACTGGGCACACACCTGGCCCTGTTCTGCGACAAGGAGGCCCAGCAAGGACGGAGCCATGCTATTGAGGCAGCCACAGGCTCAGACCCGGTACATCAGAGGCCATATCCCTATAAAGTGAATGAACAGCACAGAGCACTGCTTTTTAAGTGTAGGAACGTAGTAGGCTTTCAATAAATGCTGACCGAATGAAGGGTGCATTGCATACACTCAGGTATCCACAGAGCAACCGAAAGCTCAGGTCAGGAAGCAGCAGGGATGAGGCCATAGGGCATGAAGCCTCTGGGGCAGGGGCAGGAGCAGGACTCAGAACAGCTCAGCCTTGTTCATTGGAACCCAGAGTAGTGAGTGCCTGCGGGGAGCATCCTTCAGAGCCACGCGTCACCCTCCTAAGGGCACACTGTGACACCTGACCAAGCAGGAACATGGAGGGGGGTGAGGACGCCTGGGGCCCAGCTTGCAGCCTCCCTGGGGCACATTTGTACCCAGTGTTTGCTGCATGCCCCAGACAGACCCACCCTCCCTAGGACCTCTAGGACAGGAGGAAAATGAGCGCCTGTGGCATGTCTATCACTGAAGGGCAGAGGACAGGCCAGCTACAAAGCCCTTAGATGGTCATGGGTATGATAATAGTAATAATGACAACAGTGTCAGCAGCCAGGGCGTCATTTATTTGATCCCAGTGACACCCTATAAGGTAGGGACCAGTATCATCTCCATTTTATGGATGAAGAAGCTGAGGCAGAGGGAAGTCTCCAGGTACAGAGCTGGGTAGGAACTTGGGTCCTTTGACTCTAAACTGCAAACTGGTCTTTGGTTGGCCTCTCACTCAACCTAAGGAGCATCCCATCCAACCCTCACTCCTGTCATATGGAGCATGAGGGCTACCATTGCATCTTTTGACACAAAAGAGAAGGAGGACGCAAACTCTCCAAAAAATCATCTCAAGTCTTCCATTATCAGACTTTGCACAGGTCCTTCTCGTACCTTCCCAGCTCCAGGGGAAAGATGAACAACCAGTGGCTGGAGAATGGGCCCTTCCCCTGAATTGGTCCTTTGTAATGAAAGTAAATTCTCTGCCAGGCTTTGGTGCCCAGCAGTTTGACAATACAGGTGTTTAAATGGTAATGACTGTGGGGCCAGCCAGGAGAGGAGGCAGTGAGTCAGATGGGGGGTTCAACAGGAATTAAAGGCACTTAATCTCAGTACAATATGATTTTTCCAAATCTGTTGGCTCTGCACCAAGAATGAGCTGACTCAGGACACCCTGGGGCCTGGGCTGCTCAGGGCCTGCTTGGCTCTATCAGGGAGGGAGGGCTCGGGGCTGAGGAACTCCTGGGAGGTGGCACTGGCCTAGGGCAAGCTTGTCCATCCCACGACCCATGGGCTGCACATGGCTCAGGACAACTTTGAATGTGGCCCAACACAAATTCGTAAACCTTCTTAAAACATGATGAGATTTTTTTTTGAACTTTTTTTTTTTTTTTTTAGGTCATCAGCTGTTGTGAGTGTATTTTATGTGTGACCCAAGACAGTTCTTCCAGTGTGGCCCAGGGAAGCCGAAAGGTTGGATGCCCCTGGCCTAGAAGCTCTGAGAGCAGATTAGGACCAAAAGGTCCAAGGGCAGCCTAGTGTCCTTGTTGCTAGGAAGCCCCTTAGGCCTCAGAGGACAGTGGACAGTGGGGCTGGGGGCGGAGCGAGTGCTTCTCCAGGAGTGCAAGGAGGAAGAATTTTAAGAATATAACTTGATCAGCAGACAGAGAGCAAGTGACCTGCCTAAGACTACCCAGCCAGGATTCAAGACCAAATCTTTGCTGTTAATCAGTATGTTATTCTGTAGAGTGTGTGTTATGTGTTTGGGGAATCTTAATGGTAGTTCTGTTTGTTAGCACTTACCCCAGTTATCTTATATGTATTATATAATTTAATCTTCGTAGAAATCTGTTTCAAGTATGAGTAAACTGAAGAACAGAGATGCTAAGTAATATGCTCGTGATCGCACAGCCACTGGGGGGTAGGATTAGAATTTGAACCCGGCTCCATCTACCTTTCAAGCCTGAACCCTCAGCCAGACACAGGCACAGAGCATCCACCCCAAGGGACCGAGACCTCTGCCAACCAGAAAGATCAGGGAAGCTTCTCGGAGGGCATGTCAGAATTTGTTTGCGATGGAGCTGGTCTGTAAACTTCAGGTTCCCTGGCCTCCCAAGGGCTCTTGCTCATCCTCAGATTGCATCCTGGGGCCCCCTTGCTGGGTGCTTGGAGGGTGAGGTACACTGTGGGTGCATTCCTCAGATTCCACTGGGATTGCTGAAGCGGCCAGCACAGGTTGCACCCGCCAGCTGTGGGGCAGGCCTGCCCATATTAGATTGCAGCTTGGAGCCCTTCTCAGCATCACCCAGGACAGTTCTCTCAGCCAGGGTGGGGTCAGCATCGGGGACACCAGGGACACACAGCTCCCACTGGAAGGGCCAGGGAAGGGCCGTGACCAGCTGGACAGAAGAGAGTTAGTGAAGACAAAGGCACATCAATCCCTGGACTCCCAGTTGTTGGCTGCAGAGGGATGAGTAGGATAAGTGGCAGGTGGTGAGGCCCTGCCAGTCGATTGCACCTCCATTTGATGGGCAGTGGGGAGTCGGTGAAGGTTTTGATCTGTAGAATGACTGTGTGCCGTTTCTCACTGAGCTTTCGTAGAAACCTCGCATGTCAGAGGACAGAGACCAAACGCGGTCAGGAGAGTGGCTCTGCTCCCCTGGGTGCTGGCAGGGAAGGGATGCTTATATTGGGAATCCCCTTTGTAGCTAAGATGTCCTTTTGCAAGTCTGGCCTTTAAAATCCAAGCCCAGTTGGTGTGGGGCATAGAAGAGCTCTAAGTGTTAATCCAGAAATGCGGCTGAGGTTGGGGGAGGAGTGCACAGAAAACACGTGGCACACACAAGATGCAGGCTAAATGTAAAGCTGGATACCAGAGGCTGGGGGATCCGAGGGTCCAACGGTCCCACCCTCTTTGGATGGAAGAAACTGAGGACATAAGGGGCTTTGCCCGAAGAGGCCCAGGCCATTGCAAAAGAGGGCACAGCATCCCCAGGTGACACCTGCCCTCCCTGGGGGCTTTCCTCCTTCCACTGTGTGTCTTTGACCTTCCTCCCAGGCCTCTCTCTGAGTGTGAGCTGAGGCTGAGGGTTAGAGCCAGCTAGGAAAGAGAAGAGCCAATGTGTACCTTCCAGGGCACCTCACCAGGCTTCACAGTTACAGAGCAAGGGGGTCCTCGCAGGAGCCAGTGGGGACTCAGTGGCCCATCTCAGACGTTGATGTCATAGCACCCAGATAGGGAGGGACACCGCTGGTGGCAGTGAGCCTTACCCCAATTCATGACCCAAAAGAAACCCAGAGCAGTCTGCCCAGGATGGGGCAGCTGCCCTGAGGTGTCCTTTGGCCACTTGTTTCTGTCCCGCCACCCTCAACGCTTCTCAGCAGCCACAGCTGCCCATCTGCCGCTTGCTCCGGCCCTGCCTCCTTCTGTGTGTGGGCCTCCTCTCGTGACCATCCCTGCACTTCCCAGTGCTCCTTGCTCACCCGTTTTTGTCTGTCTGGCATCGTGTCTCTCACTTTGGTTTGTCCTGCCCCAGTCAGCTGGGTTGTACAACCTCAGAGCGAACCCTTCCTGTGGGAGGCCTCCGCTCTATCTCTGGGCTGGTCTGGGCTCCACCTTGGTGCTTGCTTGTCTCTGAGGACTTCTGTAGTCTGTGCACTCTGTGTGTGTGTGCGCGCGTGCGCGCACATGTGTACCGACCTACATATGTGCGTCCCTCCCCCTGGCCACCACACCCCTCACACCGCCCATCCCTCCCCTTCCTTGGACTGGCTCAGGTTCCTCCCTACTCCCCATGGGCCAGCCAGCAGGAAGGCAACCTGCAGCCAGAGTGTGGAGCCCACTCCTTGGAGGCAGCCCCGGCATTCCTGGCTGCAGCAGACCCTCCGGGCTTAGCCCACAGGACTCCTGGGAGCCGGTATGAGCCTGGCCATCATCCGGCCTGGAGAGTGGCTCCTGTTTGAGAGCAGGAATGTCCTGGATGGGAAAAGGGAGAGAGGGGAGAGTTTGTGAATAAAACAAACAAACAAGGCATTATTTGCCCTGAAAATGTGCCCTTTGTCTAGTGCTGGAGTTCAGGGAGTCCCAGAAAGTGAGAAACGATGCACAGGGAGGGCACTGTGCATCCTGGGCTGGGGCTGCAGACACAATGGAGGGAGGAGGTGGGGCAGCCACACAGACCGCACGTGTTCCAGAGGCCCAACAGGCCAGGATGACATTCCAGGGCCATTTCAACTCTCTCTCGAAATGTCATTAATATATGGCTAGTAGGGAGAGCTCTCAGGCCTCTCCAAACCCACCGTGTGAGGGAAACCCCCTCCAGCCACCACCACTTAGTCATTTAGCAGATGTTTATTTAGCACCTATGATGGACCAGCGCTCTTCTGAGTATTTGGGATGCCTCTGAGCAAGAGACCGGGTGTCTGCGTCATGGAGCTGACAGTCTGGCAGGGGAGTAGAGAGGCATAGATCTTAGAGCTCCGAGGTCTTCCTGACAGTCCAACCCAGTCACCCTCCTAATCATACTGCTGGAACCCTGAGGCTCAGGGAGGTCGGGAGTCAGCCCTCCATCCTCCTGGTACCAAGGCACAGCCCATTGGCATAACATTCGGTGCACACTGGCTGAATGAACACCCCTCCTGCAAGCATTGCTCGGTTTACTGGGGATTTCCCAGAAGCACCTGGGGATAGGAGGGGCTGGCAGGACCTGCTTGATAGCAAGGCTTTTGGAGGTTGCAGGACCTGGACTGTGAGAGGTGTGCAGTGGAGGTGAGCTGTCGTCACTGTCGTCCGTGGGGAATGGGACAGTCCCTCTTTGCCAGGGGACCCCGTTGGGAATCTGCCAATCTGAGTTGAGGTCAGTCTTTCTTCACTAATAATCTGGTGGCATTGGGAAGTCTCTTTTCTCTGTGGGCCTCGGTTTCCCCATCTACCCAGAAAGAAGGTAGGACTGGCTCACCAATGTGAACGCCAGGAGGCCAGGGATTGGAGTTTGTGGCAGTGTGTCTCCAGTGCATCCGCGCTGACAAAACCGCATAAACTGTACCATGCACTGGGAATGAGGCCCCTCAAGGATCCTACAAGAGGCCCCCTGGGTCCTGGGACCCCACCCGGCCTGTCTCAGTTCCCAGCTGCAGCAGGGCCCGGGCTTGCTCTCCCCAGACAGCCAGGCCAGTGAAGCGTGGGCCTGCTCACAGCGCCTGGCAGGGACCTGTAAATTGAAAACATGATGTTTCCTGTTGGGGCCGGACTCAGTGTGGCCTTGGAAAGCTGGCCTCGCTCTCAGGAAGCCCTGCTCCCCACAGCACTGCCACAAAAACAGTGGAAAAGTGAAGCCTTTTCAAGTCTGTGTTTCCACTGTAAACAGGGGATGAAAGCTGGCCTCGCCTCCTGGAGCCGTTCAGGCCAGGCCCCTCGGCCCTGTCTTTGGAGGCACCTCAGCTGCCCCTCTGCTCCAGGCAGCACCCCTCTAACTGGAGAAGCCGCCCTGTGCCCCCAGTTGACAAAGGCTTACAGGTTTAGTTCAAGCACGCCCAGACCCATTAGTCCTCATATCCACCCTGCGAGGTGAGAAGGGAAGTGGGGAGATCAGCAGAGCACAGAGAAGCATAGGACCTGCCCAAACACACACCACCAAGAGAAGGCAGACCTGGACCCTGCCTCCTGCCCCGGGATGTCCTCACAGGGCCTGCAGTCCCTGAGGAGGCTCTTGTGTGTGGCCCTGGGTGCCTAAGGAGAACTGCTGCCTAGCCCAACATGAGCTTGACTTTGTCCTGTAAATGGAGAATCTCACACATTTAGTGAAAGTGACTTGTTTTAAACTGCAATAATATCCTTTTTTTCCTTATTGTAAAATAGATGCATGCTTGCTGCAGAAAGTCTGGAAGTCAGAAAAGTGAAGGAAGAAAAATAAAACTGCCCCGTAGTCCTCCCACCCAGGGGTCATCCTGGTCATCATTCTAGTATGGTTCTTTCTGGTCACCTTATAATTTTCTTTTCTTCTCTTTTGGACTTAAGTCATGAGGAGGCTTCAGGGCCATTCAATGCTCTATTAGACATGATCCTTAATGGCCACATGGAGGGACCTTAGGAGGGGCCAGGGCAGTATCCTCATCACAGTCAACTTGCTGCTGGCTTGGGCTGGGTGTGATGGGGTGCTGCTGGGGACTCTGTGGAGATACCCCCCACCCTGCAGTGTAATTCATGGTGAGGGCAGCTTGGCCTGGACCCCCATGCTAGAAAGTCTCCCAGTGGCTCTGATTAACTGTGTGACTCTGGCCTGCCTGTCCCGTCTCCCCATCTGTGAACTGGGCAAATGGGCCCCATTCGCGTCCTCATGGCCGCCCTTCAGCCTGCTACCAAGGCGCTGCTTGCTGACAACCTGCAGGTGCGGCCATGCAGTCCCTTACTCAGTTGGTCGTGAACAGAGTGCCTACTGTGTGTTGGTGAGTGACGCCTACCAGAGGCGCCATTCTCTGCACCATAGCCCCTCCTATGTTCCTACCCCTTTTAACCTGCAAGCCCATCCAGCTCTCCTCCTCCCTGACCCCTCACCAGTCAGGGCTGGAGCCCAGCTGGGCGGGAGTGAAGGGGGTCCCAGGGAGAGCCATCTTCAGCCCCTTCTGCCCCGGTGACGTCCCTGGTGGCCCTGAGACAGCTTTATGGAAGACAGATTAAGGCTGTCTCCTCCTGGTGGGTTCATGTCTTCACTTTTCAAGCCCTGCTCTGAGTTCTCCACGGCGGCATCCCTGCCCCACCCCTCCCCCACCCCCGCATGCTTCCTTCCCTCCTGCTCTAATCTGTCAGCCCAGCCGGAGAGAGGGCCACTGGTCTCCAAGGTGACTGAATCATTGTGGGGGAGACAGGCCAGGGTTTTCTGCGTGAGTGCTTTTGGCTTCCTGCCCTTGGAGAGGGGCTGGGGGAGGTGTGTGGTGGCAACCATGGGCCGTGGATCTCCCAGACAGCCCTGCTCTCCCAAGCCAGGGCCGCATGGAGCCCTGCCCCCGCCCAGCTCAGCGCTGCTCTGCTCAGACCCAGGTTCCACCTCCAGAGGAGTGGGCCCATCTCAGTCCAGACCCTGGAGGAAGGAGAGGAGTCAGGCAGCTGTGATTGCTGACTCACACATGAACATTTCTTCAACATCTGCTATCTCTGTGCTTCAGGCCAGGGACCCAGGATGGAGAAGAGGGATGCTAGTACATAAAACACTTACTGTGTGTGCTAGTCCTCCAAGAGTAACTCCAAGAGTTACTGTTACTGGTAGCAACAGGTAAAAGTTACTGGCCTCAGTTTTATAGCTGAGAAGGGTGGCCGATATGAATTCCTTCTCCCACTCACCTGTGGACTCCTAGAGGACAGGGGCTCTGTCTGGGTTCTGTCTGGATCCCTGGGGACTGCAGACGGCCGGCCACTCAGATAGGACCTAGTTAGTACCTGGTGAACTCAGTTCTACTGGAGTAAGACCAGAGAGGTGAGGTAACTAGTATAAGGTCACACAGCCAGAAACAGAACCGCATTTTGCCTGGCTCTGCACCCCCACTCAGTCTCTGGGGCACCACGCCTCTTCCAGACTGAGTGTTGGCAAAGAGACCTGCCATCTAGCTGGCACTGCCCAGCCACATGCCCACTGTGGTGAGCTAAGAGAGAGCCGGGTGGCTGCAAGTCTCAGCCTCTTCCCACTGGTGTGTTTCAGTCTGCTGGTCAGGCCCCACGCACTGTGTCCCTGCAGTCTGCTTCTTCCCTGGGAAGGAGGGGCCAAGAGGGGAAAGCCCCTCTCTGCCCTGCTCTGCACTCCAGATCATGGAAATGAAAAACACATTGGCTTCATTATCCCTGGATTGAATGAGCAGGGTTGCCATGGCAACAGCCATCTCAGGCCCTCGAAGGGGCAGGGGAGGGGCTGGCAAGGCCGAGGCAGGTGGGGACCAGGCAGTGGGTGAGCAGGCACTCCAGGCAGGCAGGCCGCAGGGACAACCACCACACATGCCACCACCCTCTCTCAGAGGCCAGTGTCAGATCAGCATCCTGGGGCCGACAGGGCAGGCTGGGCCATGGCAGGCAGACACCGTCTTCTACTGACCTGCCCCTCATCCACTCGTTCTGTCTCCTGTCCACCTGTCCCCTTCGTGGAGGGTGCTGAGGGTGGAGGCGGGCTGGTGCCCCACATCACCATGAAGATGAAGGAGATAGGTGGAGAGAGCGAGGGAAGAGGCAATGGAAGGGAGCCCAGAGGGGGCATTGCCTGCTCCTGATCAGGGACAGCCTTCGGGGGCCTCTCGAGAGGCATGGAGTGAGGAAATGCCCCCAGGTGCCAGGCTGTGCACACCCAAGCACGCCCGTGACCAGGGCCATCCTAGTGGCCCTGTCCCCTAGCATCACCCTCCTTAAAGAGGCTGGGTCCCCCAGTGTCCACTAGGACACTATGAGTGATGGTGGCTGTGGGGGTGACCACAGAGGGTCCTGGCCCAATGTAGTGTGGGCCATCCCATGACCCTGACTCCAGCCAGAGCCAGCTTCCCTGATACCAAAATGAACTCTCCTTTTTCTAGGACCTAAATGCCACCTGCCTCCTCTGTCCCATGGGCTGTCACCCCAGGGCTTGCATCTGAGGGCGACATCCCCCCGTAGGTGAGGCCCTGCCGCCCCTTTGCACAGGCTGGCCCAAAGGAAGTGGGCTGCACCCCTTCCTCCTCCGAGTTCCCCAGATGTGTGGGAGCCTGAGCTGCCCCTCTGGAGTGGCCCCAAGCAAACACCGCCGCCTTCCTCTGAGCAGGCAGCCTCAGCCAGTCTCTCCGTGTGACCCAGACAATGGGGCAGCCGACAGGGACCCCTGCTCAGGGGGATCAAGTGCCCACAAGAGACTTTCCTTTCAGATAGGGCCAGTCAGAGAAGCCCAGTGCTGACCCCAACTCCAGTTGCAGCTTTGACTCCAGCCCCAGCTCAAGCCCAGTGTTCGGGGCCAGCACACCTGCACAGGTTTCCAACTGCTTTCCCACCCCCAGCTTCTGCTCCAGCTAGAATGCCCTCCCACCATGACCTGTGCCTCCCCAAATCCAACCTCCTCCCACTGCTTTTTTCTGATGGGGAAACAGAGGCCGAGTGAAAGGAAGTGACTCATCCAAGGCCACGAGGGAGTCAGGACAGCATGGCCGTGTGTGGGATGTTCTTTTCCCAGGAGGCAGAGCCGTGGGTTCCCACTGAGACGGACCGAGAGTCAGTGTGGCCCTGCGTCCAGAGTCTCCCTGCTAGAGCGGGCTTGGGCAGGAGCAGGGAGCACCCGGGTTTCAGCCTCCTGATGGCCCTTCCCAGTGGGAAGGGGCCTGGGAGGAGGCTCAAGGGCTGAGTCAGGTCACCATTCTCTTCTCCAAGCCTTAGTAAATGGGGACAGTCCTGTGGCCCTGCCTACAAACGGGCTGCCTGCTTCTGAGGAGACTGGAGGTGAGCACTGGGCAGATGCAGTTGTGGTGTCATTGGTGCTGTTTGTAGCCTTGTCCTCCCGCTAAGTGGCGGTAGATTCTGAGGGGGAGACAGCACAGGCAGGAGCGACCCCAGCACCTCCTCCTTGGGGCAGAGGCAACCCAGGGGCTTGAGCAGCCACCTGCCCAGCAGCTGCAACCAGATCCCAGAGGCACATTCTCAAATGCAGGTTCCTAGGCCCTCCCAGGGAGCCGGATGAAGCCCAGGCATCAGTGTGCTTGTAGCTTCCCAAACTCCAAACTGTGGGCAGTGCTCACCTTGCTGCCCTCTAGGGCCTGGCTGTCCGGGTCACACCCCTTTGTGACCCCCTCTGGGCCTCGTCCTGCCTCAGGCCAAGGCCCATCCCTCCCTGCTCTGCTCTCTCATCCTTCCTCTACCCAC